CTTCCTGCAATTCCAAGCACTTCAGCTGCCCATCCAACATCTTATACTCTACTTTGCCATAATTTTAGAGACAGAGCCTATGTTCCAAAAGCTAAAAAGTAGGAGAAGAGCCTATGTTCCAAAAGCTAAAAAGTAGGAAAATACAAGCCGATAACGGAACCCTGCCATGGGCCGGGTCCGGGTAACACGAAACCGGGTAATTGGCCTGGGTCAAGGAGGTACTGACTAGACAAAAAAGTGTATAAAACATTTAAAAAACTCCAAAAAATATGAAAGATATGTTTAAAGTAAAATTAAATAAAACACATCTAAATTAGGTAGAAAAATATATAATAAAAACATAGATTTTGAAAAATCAATTCGTGACTAGGGATATTTAAAGAAAAAATTAAAAAAAATAAAAAAATAAGTATTCATAGTCAAAATATATTCCAATCTTTGCTAAAATATAAAAAACATATAAAAATATATTTTAAATAGATTTCTTTTTTCATGAATTTTTAAATAATTTTTCATAATTCAAACTCAAGAACTTGACCATCAAAGCGGGGATTATACGGACCCGCCTATTTCTGGGTAGCCCGGGGGCTGGTCCGGTTCAACCCAGCCGGTTTGTCTAACACTGGAAAGAAGATCTACCTAAATAAGCGAGAGGGGCATCTAATCCAAGAGAGAGAGATTGATTGGCATGAAGTCCTTTCTTCTACTCTAATCATGAATACAATCTCTCCAGACGAAGGACGAAAACTCCTTTTCATCTGTTGATTGTGAAGCTCCACTTGACTTTCAGTTGCTTTGTCGTGGGTTCAAAGCCATTAACTTCCTCCTAACAACCTCAACGCACACTTTCTCTCTCTATATCATAAATACTCACATTCTCTTTCTCTCTCTAACCAGTAGATTAATGTTTGTTCACCATGACAATAATATTATGATTCATGGCCTTGATGTCTCTCTTGGAGGGTCGCCGCTCTTTTGCTGGACCTCGTCGCAGTGTAGATGCTGATTCTTATGCAAATGGAAGAATTTTACCACGTCCTCCATCCTCTCCACTGGTATATTAGCTTTATTTCTTCATACTATTTCTCATCAATATCTTCACTGTTTTTTTCCTTTTTCTTTCCTTTTTTTTCTAAATCATTTTTCTTTTAATGCTTCTTCGTCTTCTTTTAATGCTTCTTCGTCTTCTTCCCATATTATTATTTTTCTTCTTGTTGTTGTTATTATTGTTGTTTTATTTTTGTTCTTCTTATCTAATCATCATAATTATCATCATGATGATTTTTATGGTTATATTAATGCTGCTGTTGGTATTTTGGATGGGTTAAATGTGTTGGTATTTGCGTTAAAAAATACTTTGTTATTTCAAAATTATATCTTTCAAAACCATGTTTTACTCACAATCGTGGATAGCACCACTTGAAAGCCTCAGCTATCGATCTAGGATTTCATTTCAACTTACGTATTAAAAAACGACTAACTATTTTTAACTTGTATTCCCCACTGATCTACCAAAAAAAAATTTCAATTGTGAAACATGAGACCTCCATTTTGAGATTGTTTGAGCTTCAAAAATAACAAAAAAAGCGTTCCGATAAAACTAGGTCATTTGCCTAAACATGCAATGGTCACCATTTTTGCCACTGGTATTCATGAAAGTAATGTTATCATAGACAGGAAATGAAATATTAGGGGGCTCTTAGCTGTAAAATTGACTACTATTTGGCATTTCTTGGTAAACCAACTGGTTGTTTTCTCCCTCTAGGCCGGAAATTGAGGGCATTTTGTCATGCATGAAACAATAGCATTTGGTATTAGACAACAATTAGCATAGTTCGTGTTCATATATTAAACATCATAAAACAAAAGAGAGGCATTAAATTTTGCCTTCATTATTTGAGTAGAAGGTTTATGGAAATGCATGTTAACTATTTCTTAAACGACCAACATATATTCACAAACAATGAAAAAGAAAACCCAAACCAAAATACTCCAACGAACCAACCCGGACTCGCCCAAGTACCTCGGGTTTGCCCGAGTATCCCCAGTTTGGTGGTCAAGTATAAAAAATCAAAAAGTAACAATTTATTTTCTAATATGTTTCTTTAACGGTCCAAAAATGTGTTACAAGATGTACTATTTTCGAAACTTGAAATCTATTTTTTTCTCATATCCATGCATCTTGATGTCGAGATGATTAATTTGAGGATATTTAGGCATCAAAACAACCTCTTCTAGTGAAATTTTTGCGGTAAGCTCTAATTTAATTGTTTAGAGCCTCTGCTCTATATAAACTTTCCCCTTTTTCAAAATCCATTTTTTTACTACTTTTTTAACCTCAGATGTGTTCTATTTAGAATTAATTCAATCATAGTTTTATATTTTTTGGTATTTTTATTGTATTTCTTTAATTTTTTAACACTTTTTGGCTTGGCTAGCCCTTGCCCGACTCGAAACGAGACTCGGAACTCGATCCAAGTTACTCGGCTATTCAAGTTCGGCCCTTGGCCAAGTTCCGTCCCTGAGTCGTGGTTTCCAAGACTGAGAACACATTCAAATACACGACTTGATTTTTCATAATTATATTTGGAAGCCTCAGTATCCTTTATTTCTCACTGCATCTAAGAAAAGAAAGATTGAGTGGTACCCTTGTGGGCCATATCAATAATAGATGAATAGTAAGTTCATGCCCTATGATACTATCTTCACAAGGAGAAGGGCATACCCATCTTTAATATTGTGAGTTGTTAGGCTCTTACAAATATTTGATATTCAACTAAATTCATTCTAGTTTCATGCTTGTTAATTGAAAACTGAAGCTTGAAGATGGCTTTGTTGCAGGGAAATAGGAAACAAGAAGGGCAACAGAAGAGAGTGGAACTAGATCAAGAGGTAAGATCCTAAATCAAGCAAGCTATCCATCTATATATGGATTCCTGGTTTTTGAAGTTTCGAATTTTATATAGTTTTTCATGGTTATATTAAAACTCTTGTATCATTTTCAAGAGCTATTCCTTACCTTCTTTAATTTTCAAAGTATTCTTGAAAGGACAGAGACATCAATTACTTAAAAATATTTTTAACTATAACTAAGTTTGAATGTGTTATAGGTAAGTGTCCTTTTCTTCTGGTCTTTGGCTTAGTTTTCAGGCCATTATAGAATTAGTTTAATTGTTTTGGTAAAAATTCTATATTTTTCTCTTTAAGTCCTCACATGAAAACTTCATTTTCAGATAATTTAAAGTTATTACCTTGCATTTGAGTAAAGGATGATTATTTGGTCTTTGAATATGCTAGTTAATTCATTAGCACATGGGGGTTTCAGGTGGAAAAATTGCGCAAAATATTAGATCATGAAGAGAAGGTGCACAAGGTTTTGCAGGATGCCTTTAGACATGAGCCTGGGAACCATTTTCCCCTTCCAAGGTTTCTTCCACCACAGGTAAAATCCTTTCTAGAAGTATTTTTAAACTTAGTGAACAATCTCAAAAGAAAAAAAAAAGGAGAAAGAAGAAGAAGAAAAGTTCAAATGCACCCTATATGAAAAAAATAATGTCCTAGGGTTGAAAAAAGACCATCCAATTATTGAACTATCAGATCTAAGTGTTTAAAGACTCGAAATTTTTTTTTTTTTTTTTGTAAAATACTCATCAAGTGATTCTAAAATGGATCCCAAAATTTTAAATTTAAAAAATCCTCCTAATTTGCTATTTACACAAAGACTTAAGTGTATAGTGTTCCCCCATGGAGTATGTTATACAATAAAAAGAAAGAAAAAAGAAGCATCAATGTCCGTAAATATATGAAATAGAAGAACCACGAAGAAGAGAGTGCTTTTCTGAAAACCGTAACAGGCTCCACTTCTTTTTTCAATCATCTCTAAAGATTTACAAAGCAAATATTTGCAAAAAGGAAGAAAAAGAAGCTTGAAATATATTTAATTTCCCAAAAGTATCCAATTGGAACTCTTTGATGGCCACATTTTCAAAGGTTCAAATGCCACCAGTAACATACAGAAGAATGTTGATTTTTACCAATTATCTATATTCATAAATAACCCATAAAAATAAAAATGTATTAAAAGTAATAAAAAAAACCAAACAGTCTAAATAAGGTTAAAATAGTATTAAAAAATGAATTAAGAAAAAACAGATTTATAGTTGGGGGCATTTTAAAAATCCAAAAAAGGAAGAGAAAAATATAAAAATGGGGATTTATGGTAGAAACAGTTACCAATCTTTGCCAAAAGCATAAAATTAATAGATCCATCTCATTTTTTTTAATATCTTTTTAATATCCCCGAGCTATACACATAACTCGGGGCTGAGTTACTTGGCAGTGGACTCAGCCAAATCCTAGCACACCGACCCATAAGTTCCTAATATGATATAATTGGCATTACATGTTCTACACGTTCATATAATCCATTCTTTGTGGCTACATAGGTAAAGCAACTCTTGGATGAACTCACAATGGTGGAGGAGGAAATTATTCGACTAGAGACCGAGCTAAACACACTTCGCCAAGATCTGCATCAAGGAAATAGAAATCTCACCAAGTTTAAGTCCCAAGAATTTCAACCTCAACATCAACAACAAGAACAACAAAGACCCAAAAGTCAAGGTGGGCATAGCAGGCATGGCTCACTAGATTGTAGCACAGAGATAAGGACTATGCTTTTTATAAGTAGAGCCATAAATGGCAGTTGTGTGATCCCTGCAAGGAATTCAAAAACCGAGGTTCCTAAAAAAACGCAGACTCTAAGGGACACTAAGAAGGCCAATGTCCGCAAGAGCCTTCAATCTAAGTTACCTCCAAGATACCCCAAGATATAGAATGTCCTGAATTCCCTGGTTCCTAAACATTTTTGTGAATTATTGTTTATTAGTTTGGGTAAAACTTTTGTAACAAATTTTCGGCTATGTGGAAATATGTCTTAAATTTTTTGAAGGCATAGCATCCCACCCCCTCCTCCTTCTAATCATTAGAGATTGTAACATGTGACATTTGAATTCTTCTTTTTATTGAGCGGTTGGGATAGAGATTTGCTGCCTAACAAGGTATAGATACAAATAATGAGTATATTATTGTTGGTAGTATAAGATCAATGGGCTAAAAATGCAATTTTTTTATAAAATATCCATTGTATAAAAACTCAAGGGTTTAAATGCATGAGCAGCTCAATACAAAATCGTAATACATATATTCCAACCTACAAACATGGTTTATATACATTTGAATAATAAAATTCAAACCTAATAGGTCTCTTACAATCTCTTACCCAAAAATACAATTAACTCAATATAATATTCAAATATTCACAATGTACATCTCTACAACATATTGCATGGCTTGCACTCGCAATTCTTCATTATATCAAAATTATACGATAATTTGATCTTAATTCTTCATCCTCATCATATATCAAAATATTTTATACACATCATACACTTGATCACAATAATTCAATAATATTTCAATTCGCATAAACAATAATGCATAGTATTAAAGCTCATACCGCAAGATTAAAAAACAATCTCAATATTCACACAATATACTCAATTTAACCAATCATGAATTCATTTAATAATTGTAAATACATCAAATTAACATGCAAACATATATGGAGAAATCATGGTTTGAACCCCTTGTGCCCGGGCCACGAAAGGGCATTTTGAGGACTTAATTTTGTCTCATTGTCTAAGGCACGGGTGATAATAATAACTTAAGAAGATCAATCCAATGGGAAGCAAATGATCACTTAATGGAGATCAAATCATAATGTATCAAAATAGCCCTTCAAAGTTTGAGAGATATACTACACAAACTAAGGAAGTTAAGGTGAAACTACACTATGTGGTCCATAAGGGACCACACGAACGTTTCAATATTAAAAAAGGAACTCAGCGAACTATTTCATATGCTCAAATATGATGAAATAAACTTCTCATCAGTTGTATATTCTCAGTAAAAATTTCAGAAAAATAAGATCAAAAAAATCAAGTTGAAACTACTAAAGATCATAGAGTATGTAAGCTAGTATACACATACCATGTGTATGGACTACACTATTGATTTATGACTCTTCAAATATCAAGTTTTAATGACCAAAAATGAAGAAAGCTACTATAAATTAAGAATTACAGCAAGCTTTGATAATGAAAATGAGGTAGGAATTAAAAATATGAGAAGAAAAGACAATACCTTAATGAAGCAATAATATGGGCTTGATCACATAAATAAATGACTACTCCATAGAAGTGTTTTAAATGAAAGCTCAAAGAAAAAAATAGTCTCATGGGTGATCACATTTTTGTCAAGGGTTCTCACTCTCTCTCTCTTTGAAGTGAATACTCAAGTTAGGGTTATAATTGATCTCATAAGTTACGTTTATACTTAGATCATAAAGATGGATTTGATCTTGATCATTGATGCCTTAGATCAACTGCACATGATATGCTTTTATCCAAGCCACTCATTTATATCTTATCATCAAGATCAATGGATGAGCTTTTGATACCCTTCACTCCTCAAAACCTAGGTTTATAGTCATTTTACCTTGAACCCTTAGCTCCATGTTTTATTTCTCATTAAGTCCCAATTCATGTTTACACTTATGCCCATAGTTTTGGAATAATTTGTGAGTGTCAATAAAATACAAGGATATGGACATAAAGGTAATATGAGACATCCATACATGTGAATAAAATATCTTATGACACCACTAATAGAATCTTAACAACACTAAAGTTTCACATGGGTCAAGCCCATAAGGTGATGCTACATAAGATATATCCACATGCTACAAAATCATATGTGGATAATATTATAAATTAAATTAATTCTCAAAATCCCATGACTTCACACATGCAAAAAGAAATGATACACATGAGATAAAAATAAAACATGTGACTTAAATCAAACTTAAGTCATAACAATATATAACACCTTAAATAACAAGATAACATGTTATAACATAATACCAACAAAAGAATTAATGACAAATAGGTCCCTACATGGATATGACGTCAGCATGATATCATCCACGAGTAGGGAGGTAGGAGTACCACGTGGCATCCCTATGGCCACTTGGGATCCATGTGGCATCCCCATATGATGTCTTTGTTTGGTATTTATGTCGAACAAATTTGTCACATTTTTTATTATTTAAAAAAATTGAAAATTTCTTAAAAAATCCCAAAAATTCTCTAAATAATTTCTCAATATTATTATACAATTTATCATCAATATAAAATCTTTTCTTATCAATTTTATATTAATTTTGGCCAAAGTTAAATGAGATCTCTATACTTAACACTAGTTGGAGTTTTCCATTGAGCAAACCCGAATTACGTTCCATCGGTGTCTCAAGCCGACCCAATGGACATATGCTCCACAGTCTATGGCAATGACACATAATTGATCACATCAAAATCGCTGAGCTAGAGCTTCCCGTCACCGAGGGTTCAATGGATTATTGGTGCACCCCTGTGAGGCATATTCTTACTCAAATACAAGGGTCATCTCAAAGCACATGTGCACTAGCTCTTATAAGTGGAATAATACTATATAAGAGTGGCTTCCCCATACGACTTTGGCTGTATATACCATGGAATGGTCTCGTGTCAGGATACGGGCTAATGTCCCATGAGCCGACCATTCCATACAGGGCGAATACTCTTTTAAATAGTCGAGTTCTATTATTCTCGATTGGATTCTCCAAGCCCTAGCTTATCACGCCAACTATGAGGCATTCTAGTCAATATAGTCTTGACTAGGAGGTGACCCTTACACCTCCTCGAGAGTTCACACTCTCAAAACGTATACTCTCAATGTCTCAAATACTCGGGGTATATGAATCAAGGCCCTAGTGCGCCAAGCACCCAGATTCAATCTTTCTCTAACTCCTACTGAGAGTATGACTCTTGGCTTTAAGGTCTTGAAAGGCTACATCACCAACATTCTCTCACTTAGCCTTTTGAGGCCTTACAAATGATTTTCTCTCTCATTCTTATGTACAAGATATAATTTAAAACATTCATTCTCTACCATAAAAGCAATACTCATATCAAGCAATGAAGAAAGTATCAACAACGAAGTTACCTTTCTCAATCTCATATCATGCACAAGCATAAATCACTATATGATCCATAAGCGTAGTCAATCAACATGGTCCATTAACATAATCAATAGGCATGAACTAATAAAAGCAAGGGTGGTCAAACATATGTAATCGCCAGAGCAAAATTGTCATGAACTATTTCTATGTCTGGTGTATGTCACATAAACCATAAATCACAATTTAAATGTCATGTTCGATCTCCTTCATCCACATTCAAATATCATGTAGTTTATGTGTCAACATTTCACATCATACTCATGTCAATGCTTGACATAATAATCTACTAGGTGCTAATTGTGGATCATCATCTTCAACAATCACATATTCTAATAATGCAATAGGTATCTGTAAAGAAAAAGAAATATGGGAACATATGGCATGACAAAGAGTACAGTACTTGCGTGGGCAGAATGGTCAATAAGATATATGTTATGTGTTATAGTCTTCCCATCATCAATTTTATGTATCTCCTATGTATTCTCAGGTTTTCTAATCACTTTTATACAAACTTTTATATGCATGTTCATGACAATTTATGCTCATAAAGATTGACATATATGTTCATATCTATCTTTTTGCTCTCTCAACTTTTATTCATGTGCTCAAAAGTTCACAACTCTATGTTCATATCAGTTCTCAAGTAACACAGATTTTTACTAGAACAAAAGTTCATTAAAATCATTCTTCAATCTCATGCATTGTTCTCAAAGTTTCCTTAGTCACGAACTGGTACCTTATCCATTGAAAACCAAGGTTTGGGAGTAGTGCTTAGACTTTCAAGCATTTCACCATTCAATTATCTTATTGATATTTTACACTCGGATTAGATGGCTAGCAGGTGTCATCATGTACCTATTAATTAGATCCAATCCCAAGATCAAGAGAGATTCAATTATACATGTCTGAGTGACCAAGCACATTATAAGTTCGAATCACTTAGAACAATATCTCATGCAATGTGGGACTTATCAAAGTTTATAGGATTTCTCTCACATTTAATCTCACAAATTATCTCATGATAAACAACCAATTGCATTAAGTCATAGGCATAGATAGTCACTATCAGAGTGACTAACCCACAAAATGAGGTGTCCTTATCATCATATGATCTTATCATAATGCACATATAAATATACAGCTCTACATAAGGTCTCACATGCTATTAAAAACATTTTCAAGTGGCTTATGCATACTCCATTAAAAGGCTAGGCCTACTAGCCTTTTAGAGACCATTAGAAGCTATCTAATGAATCATCTATATGAAAGTGAATGCATATGATCACCATGGCATGAAATGCATATATAGAAAAGTGATGATCTATTATCATAATGTCACACAATTAATCATTGAAAACTCAAAAGTCTAACGAAAAGAGACCTCACAACCCTAACAAGTGACATGTCTCTAAGTGACTTAAAACTTCTCACTATGGTACTAAATGAAAATAATAATACCTATAATGCAATGGAAAAAGCCCGCCCATGGGTTCATAAAATGATCAATTTTCAAATAAGAGGTCAAACACTCTTTTTGCTTTTATTTACAAATCATTCTTATTCAATGCATCTTCCAATTTTCTCATAAGTGAAATTAAATTGCGATATAAGTATTTCCAAAATCATTACCAAGGTTCTCTTTTTGAGGATGGTTTTACTACTTAGACTTATTAAATATGCTCCCACTGAAACCGACAAGGTTGTCTTTCAAAATAACTTGAATTTATGTCTTGGGAAGTAGTTTACTTTTAAGTAAAAATTCAAATGTATCAAAAAGAACTTTATTCAAATATTGATGACTGTGAGGTACTCCAAAATATTATGA